GTTTTGGTATACCATTTTCATATATAAAACACAATATAACATAATATAACATAGTGTAATATAGTATAACATAATGTAACAATATAACATAATATAATACAATATAGCATAATATAACACAATATAGCATAACATAATATATTGTAATATATTATAATGTAATATAATATAATTAATATAATTAATATAATATAATATAATATAATATAATATAATATAATATAATATATCAGCCTTCTGAGAACTTGGAGTCAATTCCCATCTCTCACCTCATCCTGAGGATTTCACAACACCTCAACAATTAATAACCACATGTGTATATATATATTTATATGTATATATGTATATAAATACATATATAAAATATATATGTGTATATATATACACATATGTGTATATATACATATATTTATGTGTGTATATATAGATATATGCATATATATAATATATATATTTGCATACATTTAGGTACTTATATAGATATAGATATATTTATATATAAATAAATATATATATATATACACTCACCAGTGCAGTGCAGAGTCTGGAAAACATGAAAGCTGGAACTGAAGGCATTGTGTGCCCTGGGAGTGGTGGGTGCCTGTGTCTGTGCCCGCCTTTGGGTGACACAGCTGTGTCTGTGCCCGCCTTTGGGTGACACAGCTCTCTCTGTGCCTGTGTCTGTGCCTGCCTTTGGGTGACACAGCTGAGTCTGTCCCTGCCTTTGTGTGACACAGCTCCCTGTGTGCCTGTGCCTGTGTCTGTGCCTGCCTTTGGGTGACACAGCTCTCTCTGTGCCCGGTGCCCGTGTCTGTGCCCGCCTTTGGGTGACACAGCTCCCTGTGTGCCCGGTGCCTGTGTCTGTGCCCGCCTTTGGGTGACACAGCTCTGTGTGTGCCTCTGTCCGTCCCTGCCTTTGGGTGACACAGCTCCCTCTGTGTGCCCGGTGCCTGTGTCTGTGCCCGCCTTTGGGTGACACAGCTCTCTCTGTGCCCGGTGCCCGTGTCTGTGCCCGCCTTTGGGTGACACAGCTGTGTCTGTGCCCGCCTTTGGGTGACACAGCTCTCTCGTGCCTGTGTCTGTGCCCGCCTTTGGGTGACACAGCTCCCTGTGTGCCCGGTGCCTGTGTCTGTGCCCGCCTTTGGGTGACACAGCTCCCTGTGTGCCCGGTGCCTGTGTCTGTGCCCGCCTTTGGGTGACACAGCTGTGTCTGTGCCCGCCTTTGGGTGACACAGCTCCCTGTGTGCCCATCTCACCGTGTCTCCTCCCACCCCCCAGGATCCCTTATGGCTGCCACCTGCTCCCTTCCCACCTGTGCAAGGACCTGGAGGTGGCCAAGACGTGTCGCTGCGGGAGCGCCTGCCTGAGCAGCTTCATCCAGATCACGGTGACCATGAACCTGCACCACGTGGCGCACACCGTGGTGCTCGTGGACAACATGGGCGGCACCGAGGCGCCCGTGCTCTGCTACTTCTGCTCCCTGCACTGCTACTCCCAGTTCCTGGACAGGCACCTCCAGAGCCACGGCTGACACGGCCAGGATGGCTGGCACAGCCA